TCATTTGAACTTAAGAATTTTTTTAAAAAATTTTATTACTCTAACGGATTATTTATTAATATATAAGTATTCACAGATATTCATCAAATAATCCACAAATATTTGTATAAATTTGTAATACATAAAAATGATCTGTCTATTTGGATATTTGTGTTATCCATGCAGATTATAATTCATAGATCACTTCTCTAGCATCAACCATCAATCAGCGTATCAATTCAGTTTTGATCTGATGTTGACTATTAGGTAATGACCCTAATAAAATAAATAAAACTATTAAATAAAGAAAATAAAAAATAAAAAATTAGCATTTAATTTGTCTTATCTAATATGCCATTTATTTGTTCAAATGAAAAATACCAGAATGAGTATAAAGGGCTATAATCATAAACACACTTGCATAAATATAGCGAAAGGTGAAGATTCAGTGTTATTTTTCCTTCACTATAATACCTTTCAATCAGTTTTATTATTTCTATTAATTCACTGTAGGCTTCGTCCATTTTATCGACCTCTACAATTCGTCTAACCAAAATTCTACACACTTTGATAAAGTATGTTAGAATTTTTTGATCTTTTAGTGGAAGATGATCCCATAATAATACTGTGATATATATTAAGAAAAAGTTTCGTCACTGGTCTGCTGTAAAATTAGAAAACTCTTCACCTCTATGAATATTACCAAGTACTCGTCTTAAATCAGTTGGTACTTGAAAATCAATCATTTTTCTTTGTATTGACTGAAGAGCATTTTGATTTAATATATTTTCGTTAATCTATATTCTTTTTACTATTTATTTAGTAATGCCTAAGAAAAGACAATGCATAAGGTCTATAACAACAAATCTAATTGGGTCAAAATACGTTAGGTGCAGCAGTTTTGACCATCTAATGCTATTTTTTTTAATAAATCTAGATCGTTTAGCATTAGTTTTATATCGTCTCCAGTCCAAAGCATTTTGTCAATGTCTTGCTAAATCTTTTACAATGAACTATTTATTCATATTTGATATACTGCTAAAATTATGTTAATTGTCGATATAATTCATCTTCTTTTTGCAGCGGTAACATGGTACGAGAGCAGATATACTCCTTGGCTAAAAGTTTAGAACCACCCAAGATCTGCAAAATAATCTGCGTTTAATATACATTTATGAATATTTTTTGTGATTAAAAAAAGCTAGAATTTGTGTTACATGATAATCAATAAATAAATTATCAAGATTTATTTTTTTTTATTTTCTTTTATTCTGTATTTTATGAAAATGGTTAAAAAAAAGAGCTATCAGATTTTGAATGTGGAAGAATCATCAGTTTTTATGAAGCTGGTAGTTCAGAAAGAACCATATTATAACAAATAGGTTATGACAAGACCACTATCTATAATATTATAGCAAAATACTGTAAAACAGGCACCAAAAATACTGCTTTTTGAAGTAGATGCCTGAAAATATTGACCAGATGTGATTAACATCATCTTAAAGCAGTTGTTATTAAAAATCAACATGAATCAACAAAAAAAAATACATGAAATTTTTAATAAAACCATTGAAAATAAAGTAAGCAAGAGGACTGTAAGGCGTACATTATACGAGCTAAGATATCATAATCATATAGCTCTTAAGAAACTATTGGTTAGTGAATCTAATCAAAAAATTCGGTTAAATTAGGTTCGTAAAAGACGTTAATAGACGATAAATGAATGGAAAAAGGTTATCTGAAGTGTCAAATTTAGATTTACTTTATTTCAAAATAATGAAAAAATTCATATTTGATGCCTCTCAAAAGAAAAATATGATGTTAGCTATCTTTCTTCAACTGTAAAACATGGTGGTGATGGAATCATGATGTAGGGTATTTTTTCTGGTATAGTTTAGGACCTTTTGTGAGAATTAATGGTCGAATAAATAGTGAAAGATATATAAAGAAGATTATTGGCTATCACTTGGTACTATTTTTGAAGGAATTTGAAGAAGAAAATGGTGAATATTTTTTTTAACAAAACAACGTATCAATTAATACCAATATAATAATCCAAACCTTCATAAAGAAGTGAAAATAACTCCATTGTTATAGCCAGAATAGAATCCAGATTTTAACCTTATTGAACATCTATGGAACAAGCTTGAATGTCGTATCTGAGTAAAAAAAATCATCCAAGAAATCTGAGGGAATTAGAAACATTTATTCAAAAATGCTAGTTACAAATTCAACGTGAAGTTTATCAAAAACTTGTTAACAATATGGAATCTCGAATCAAAGAAGTGATAAAAGCCTGTGGTCATCCTACTAAGTATTGAAGATTATTTTATTAACTTTTTAGTAGTAAAAATAATGAATTATTTTGTTAAATTTTTTTTTTAACAAAAAAATAGTGGTTTTTTTGTTAAAATCTTTAATGATTTTATAGTTCTTTGATTTTATAAGATTTTGAGCTGGTTTTTTTTTTTATCATGTTATGCATAGTAAAGGCTTTTAATAAATAAAGTTTTTTGTGATATAATCATAAAAAATTTTTTTTTTAATGAAATTAATTTTGGCTTATTTATTAAAAAAATAATCAAAAAAAAACATCATATATTAAATGTATTAAATGTTCAATAATTTATTTTATTTATTAAAGTTATTATATATATATATTTTTTAGTTTAACAAAAAATCAGTTAATAAAAAAATCGTAATTCTTTTTAATTTACTGGGTGGTTCTAAACTTTTGGCCAGGGAGTGTACATGGCCACATAGTTTTCAAGCTGCAGGAATATCACATGAAACTAAACTTAATGTTGCTCAAATATCTTTACCGCTTGAATATTTATTTGTGTGACTAAGAGTTATTCCTTTCTAAAGTGACTCGAATTCTGTAATTATAGGTGAAAGATAGTGGTTTATCTTATGCAGACTAACCTCATTAGGTCCTGATAATATGCTAAGTATAATTATATTTTCAGGCTGAAATCGAATGTTACAAGGTAAATTATATAATGCGGCATATAGAACTCCTGTACTATAAGTTGCTCTGTTATAAGGCTGGAACCAGTCTAAATTAATGATTAATCCAAGATGATTGTCAGTCTTCTCCAGTCAAAAAAAATAGTTCAAGTCTTTTTCAGATGATTCCTTAAAATTTTGCCAGACCTGACCGTCATAAATATCTGATAAGATATTATCATGTTGTGAACGATTAGTCTAATGTCATAAGGAATTTTCAAATCCTGGTCAAAGAAACATGTTCGAAAGTTGATGTTAGGTACTTATAACTGGATAGACTAATTCAGGCCTGAATGATATACTATTGTTTAAAGTAATCTGTTTTGCTAAAGGAGTTCAATATTGTTTGAATCACTTTGTAGCCAAATTAGAAAATTCTACATGGCTACATTTCATGATCAATTGTTGAATATTAGTCATATCATCTTTCTTATATAATTTGTGACATTTTTGACAAGCTGCAAAATATATATATTAATCGACTATGCCTAGAGTTTGTCTTGCCATATATAAGGATTTTGGAAATGATTCATATTCAGAACCTTTGCACTCTTTTAATATGATTTTAATAAATTTTATTAATGCTTCAGTTGTGGTATTTGATAATCTAAAATTTGACCTGAACTTCATTATTCATATTAAAATCCACATTGTTCGATCTTGTTTTGGTAACTCTGAAGCATCTGGTATGTCAAATATAGGATAAGAATAATCTTCGAAATCATTCAAAAATTCATTATTATCTTCCATATCATCTCTATCATCTGTATTATCTTCACTTTTATCTTTAGTTGATGAATTGCTATTAGAATCTTCAGAATTTTCAAAATTACCTTCATTATATATGATAATATGTCGAAAGGTTGTTGTTCTTTTCTTTTTACGTAAAAGGAATGTAAAAGTTTGTTCTTCTAATATATTATCATCAATTATTTCTTCTAGCATATTATCATCATCAATTATTGATTGTTGTGTTAGATATTCCTCGTCGACTGGTTTGATTATTAATTATAACATTAGTGATTTATTAATAGATGAATGTACTAACTGTCCTGATCTTAAAGAAGTCAGTCGTCCCTTTTGTTTGTGTGCATTTTTTATATGCAGATTGATTAGTTTTCTTTTACATTTGTTGCAAAAACATTGAACCTTTATTCTTGATGCTCTTATTGTAATTTTAACATCTTCTATAGAAGGTAAATTTGATTTCAAAGAGCTTGCATAATTTTTTATAATTTCCATAATAGATCATTTTCTTATCATTATAACAAAACGATAAACAAAATAGTAATAAATGATATCGTAACATACATAATTTTATAAGTCAAATTGTTTAATTATTTTAATTTGAATTTTTAAAATTTTATTAATATTTTTAAGTAACTTGACTAATCATAATTAATATGTTAAATTTAAGTCAGATTTAAGTTAATATTATTAAATCATGATCAATATAAGTTGAATTTACTGAAATCTTTAAATATTATGATTAATGACAAAGAACAATATAAAT